ATGCTTCGAATAATATTGATTTCAATAAGAAGATGCCTGTACTCCGCAAGGAAAAAAAACAAAGGAAAAGACCCTTGAGTTTTTCAAGTTGTTCTTCTTAATGCATAAATGTCACTACCTCTGATCCTTAATATAAGACGTCATTTGATTTTTATTTTGGTTCTAAATATAATATTCTAATTCCTTTTGTCTCTCATATTTATCTATTTTTTTCTATGGTATTCCTTCTAATAATGGTAGTTTTAACTAATACATTTGATTAGTAAGAATATTTTAGGAAAAACAATACATATTTATTATAAATAACTAACTTAACTTATTTTTTTTACTATATTCAAATTAGTCAACTAGCTCTTATAATTAAGACCGAAGGTAGTATTTGTTCTTTGTCCTCCAAAATTTATATTTTTCCCAACAATTTATATGAACTTTTACTGCACGACTTTTCTTTTTATTTTTTAAAAAAATTTGGTAGGCTGTTTTCATATTTTATGTTTGTTCTTCATGCTTTGATTCTTTGTAAAAGTCTTGACTAGTCAATACCTTGGGAGACACCAAATGCATCGACCTCTAGAGCTTGGGAAAAACCACGTGCACGGACCTCCAAAGGTAGCCATACAGGCTAAGATTGGTAAGATTTGAGAAATCAGCATTAACTTCTGGACGTTGGTAACTACAAATTATGATGGGATTCCAAATATGTCTGCATTATTTCAAGGTCATCCTAAAAAATGAAGACTGTTAGCATTATTGTTAAAAGTAAAGCAATTAACAGGAGTTTGGGGCCTAATAATAATAAAAAAAACGAATCATTCACAGCGTAATAAATCAAAATTCAAATTGTTGTTGAGAGATTTGCTCATACTTAATAGTTATAATACTTTAAATAATATTGATTTCAATAAAAAGATGCCTATACTCTGCAAGGGGAAAAACAGAAAGCAAAGGAAAAGAAAGCGAAGCATCACAGTTCGAAAGAACTTGTTTATTGGTGTGTAAGAGAGGGAGAGGGCTCAGGAATACTCGGGATGGTAATGCAATCATACATTTACGAGTATCCACCATTCTCCACACTTGTCCACCATCATCATCATTTTCCCAGCACCTTACATTTAACCCGTCGTCCCTTTAAAATTAATGTTCCACGATATTTTTTTTTGGGGGGGTGGTTCATATAGGAATCCACAGCACGAGATATTTTATTTCAAATAAATAAAATCAAATGTAGGAAAAAAAAAAAAGAGATGAATTGGTCATTCATCCATTATGAAGTCAGAATCGATTACATTCGGTATCTATTGGATCAACTTGATAATAAGAAAATTACTCTTCTAGTCCTAAATAAAAAACTCATTTTATAGTATAAAAAGTTTTTATACTACAGAATAAATCTTCTATTTATAACCAGAAAACTCGTCTTGCAAGAGACGAGTTGCTATACTGCTAGTCTGCTATGATGAATTCGAGCTTTTTTTTTTTGGGGGGTTCTTGAAAGTTCTCCAAATGATGTGATGAGGTGGGTATCATGGGGCAGATTTATCAATCATTCTATAGAAATCTCCCGGGGTGAAGGGGATATTTTCTATCAAGAACTCTTGGTTGTACACGTGTCACTTGACTTTGGCACAATTATTACTGTGGGGCCCATGGGGACGCCGCGCGTGAGATCGTGCGGGGCATTGGTTGGATGATTCGTGGATTATGGATTTCTGTTGGCCTGTTGTCCCACCCTGAATCTTGCTGGGCTGACTTTCGAATCTTCAAGACAAAATTAACATTTTTAGAATCAAAATTTCATAGAACTTATGATTATAATTAGCTTTTTAACCGTATTAAACATAGTTTTCAATCGTAAGCTAAACCATGAGAAAGTTTTCTTGCATAAAAGAATTTCAATTTAAGCATCCTGAAATTGAAAATTTTTGGATGTATCATTACATCCTATGTTTCTAACTATTTATGAAAATGACTTGAATCACCGATGATTTAAAGTTTCAATATTTTAAGCATAATTTTAACAAAGTTAATGCCATGCATGAACCTTTCTTCTTCGGTTTTTAATGGAGGCAGGGGAAGAATAGCAATTAAAAGAGATTAAAGGGGTATTTTGCTAAATTAGAAGTCGATGTTGAATTGGGCAGTCTTAACTCGAAAAGATCCAAACTGATGGCAACAGGATAGGTTAAGTACAGCACTTGTCTGTTTCTGCAAGTGTTGGCTAAAAAATTCTCCATATTCACTGCCCGTTGTTCAGATTTTGTTTTATTCTTCTTTCACAGTTTTTTAAAAAGGCCAACCAAAAAAAAAAAGTGTTGATGCAGATGATGAACTCATAATTTTGCGAGAGCGAAAAAAAAATGCCGCTCCACGTGATGAAGTGGGAAATATTTACAACTTTTATTTAATGTTACCTAATTTTTTAAACTACATAATTTCATTATTTAGATTTTATAAAACTGACGGCGGTGTTATCTGAATCATGTGTCTAGAGAAGTGTTTGGAATGCTCAGAAAACATTTTTAAAAAATGTTTTCATATAAATGGAGATAAAAAAAATTTTACATGCTTATTTTGTATATCATAAATCACTTTTAAAATCATACTTTGATTTTTACTGAATACTTTCTAAATAACAAAGGTAAGCAAATCATGAAGTTAAAAGAAAAATTCGATCTATAAATTTCAATCACCGACTTTGCTAATCAAATTGGCACCTGGTCAAAAGGTAACATTGCTATTTGATTAGTAATATCACTTTGTGCCAGTTTTTGGTAGGTGAGTTAGGCAATTAGCCAAAACTTGCAAAAAGCTTAAAAGAAGCGGTGTGGTATAGTTTTTCTGTCAATACTACTTTTATGTCTTAATATAAAGCTTAATTAATTAATACGAGGAGATTATTAAATTATTTTAAAGTATTTATATTTATTATTTTAATCCAAACTAATTTGTCTCACTTATAAATTAATATATAATCTAATAATTTATATAAGTATTTTAAAAATATCATGTAATATGCCATAAATAAATAATTTAATAATTTTTTATTTTTCCAAATTAAGCAGTAGGGTTTTATGTTAAAAATGAGAGGCAATATTACAATACAATCAATGAGGAGATTGAATCTTTTTCGAGTTCCCAAAAATCGCATCTGATAATAACCAATCAACTGGGCCGGGTTCATGAACAAAGCTTGAAAGAAAATATTATCGTCAATTCTTCAATAATGAAGGAAGCGACACGCCCACGTCATTTTCCCAATAATTGCCGTACATAATGATAGATTAAATCCAACTCACATAATATATAAAATATCGGTGAAATTATTGAACGCCCATAAATCTGGGATCCATCTGTCTCGAACTCTTTAGGACGCATCCCCACTGGCCAATTGGACCCTGCCATTTCCCAGATTTGCTCAACTTGTTCTGCAAAAACAAATAAATAATTAGTAAATAGCAAGTTCCGTGAACCCACTCATTGTACGCGTGGCATGCCAATTGCCACCTAGGCAATGATTCACCGTCCCTGTTTCTATTCCTGATGATTTTTATGAAACATGTTGCGTGGTCAAATTAATTTACACTTTTCAAATTGCATACGTCTTTACGCAAAGAAAAAAAAATCAAAATAGAAAAATTTGGGTGAAATTTTTAATTCAATTTTTTTTTTTTTACTCTTACACGTTTACAAGGATACTTAAGCTCATGTTTGGTCACTAAAATGGAAAGGAAAGAAGCAATTTACAACTTAACAAAATGGCACACCATACTTGGTAATAGGAAACAAACTCCCAAAAATATTCCATCCGTCATCCCAGGAACGTCACCATATGCTTCCATGCATTGCCCAATTTCCCAAAATAACCCATGCATCCTAGCTATTAGACTGTAGCAATAGTTTTCTAGATTTAATTCTCAAGGGCGACTGAGTCTTTTCCTCATTTAGTCATTTCCACCCCTATATATGCTAATTAAACACATCTCTTCGATATCTATCTATAGTCGGTCCCCTGTCTTCATTTTATTCAAAATGTTCCTTGAAATCCCATCGAAGCCTTGCCCATAAAGATAATTTCAGGTTGTCAATATATGCACGTTATGGATATTTGCATAAAACATGGTAGATATAACTATTTCTGATAATCACTTGGCATCAATCAGTGCATGCACTTGATATTTGATGGGAGCGATATTATTACTTGCCGGACGGGTCAGCTTTGCGTACGTAATATTTTTCTTTTTAATTAGCCGGAAACTCATCAGACCAGAAAAACAAGATGATGTGATGACGTGGAAATATCATTGGGCAAGGTACGCGGTGGCTGTAGGGGATAGATATTTTCAGCGTGTAAGAAACGGATAGACGTAACGGCGTGCTCACGTGGATACAAATCAGCACGACCTGCTTTACACTTTTAATTATTATTAATTTTTACATAGACCAAAGACCCTAGTGGCCAGTGCAGATTATTCACGTGATATTTTATCTCAATGGGAAGTTACGCGTGTCAGGTCCGTGAAAATTCCTCACCGTGGGAGAAGGTCCGTGAAAATTCCACAAACGAAATCGCTACTAGCAAGTGCGGTTCCACGTGGCAACGTAATCGGCCGTAAAAGAACACAAATTGCGGACCCCAGAGTCATTTATTACCGTTGGATCGAACGGGATGTAGGAAAACCACGATGTTTGGAGCTTGTCACCACTTAACTAGGACGAGAAGCACAAGAAATCTGCAGGGCTTCTTCACGATGATCCATTCGCGGCTTGCATCATCCCCTCTTAGTATAAATACCCGACCTGTAATTGTTTCGCCATCAACATTTGCTTCAAGGCTTCATTACTCCTCCGGAATTTCACAAGCACGATTGCAGTTCTCAGTTTCTGGTACTATTCTATTTGCTCTCCTCTTTGAAGTTGAACTTGTTTGGTTTCAGGGAAAAGTAGGGATTATTTTGTTTTAAGGGTTGTTTGCTGACGGATATTGGCTTTTTCTTGTGCATATTTTGGAAATTGCAGACATTTTCGCAGCCGTAATTTATCGGTTTTAGCTTTTCAGGTGAATACTTGATGGATTTTGATATGCTTTTGTTAAATGTGATTTAAGAAATCTGGAAATGGAAGATTTACATGAATCTAATTTGAGCAACTTCTGATAATTGCTGCAGGGCACCAAACAGGACCAAGACTTGAGGGATTCAAGCTCCACAAGAAAGAGAAGGAAAGAGGATTCGGAATCAGAACAAATGACTATCAAACCTGCAGTTCGGGTTTCCGATGGGAAACTCATTGTGAAGGACCGTACGATCCTGACCGGCGTACCGGATAATGTGGTTGAGACGTCGGCGTCGTCGTCGGGGCCGGTGGAGGGAGTATTTGTAGGTGCGGCTTTCGATAAAGACGACAGCCACCATGTCGTTTCACTGGGAACTCTCAGGGACGTCCGCTTTCTTGCGTGTTTCCGGTTCAAGCTATGGTGGATGGCCCAGAAGATGGGCGATAAAGGAAGGGATATTCCTCTTGAGACTCAGTTCCTATTGGTGGAAACCAAAGACGGGTCCCATCTCGAATCGGACGACGGAAACGAGGACAACCAGATCGTCTACACCGTCTTCCTCCCTCTGATCGAAGGCTCATTCAGAGCGTGTTTACAAGGCAACGCAGATGATCAGCTAGAGCTCTGTTTGGAAAGCGGCGACAGCGACACTAAAACGTCGTCGTTCACCCACTCCCTCTTCATCAGTGCTGGAACTGACCCGTTCGGAACAATCCACGACGCCTTTAAAGCAGTCAAGAACCATCTGAACACTTTCCGCCTCCGGAACGAGAAGAAGCTCCCTGGAATCGTCGACTACTTCGGTTGGTGTACGTGGGACGCGTTTTACCATGAAGTAACCCAAGAAGGCGTAGAGTCCGGCCTCGCGACTCTTGCTGCCGGCGGCACCCCTCCGAAGTTCGTGATCATCGACGACGGGTGGCAATCCGTCGGCGGCGATCCGCAAGACGAGAACAGTTCATTGAAGAGATTAACAGGAATCAAAGAGAACCCCAAATTTCAGAACAAGGAAGATCCAACATTGGGAATAAAGAACATAGTGAACATTGCCAAACAGAAACATGGATTACAATACGTGTATGTATGGCACGCAATTACAGGATACTGGGGAGGCGTACGACCAGGAGTGAAGGAGATGGAGGAATACGGATCGGAGATGAGATACCCAAAGTTGTCGAAGGGGGTGGTGGAGAATGAACCGACGTGGACAACGGATGCGTTGGCGGTAAAGGGCCTGGGTCTGGTGAACCCGAAGAAGGTGTACAAATTCTACGATGAGCTTCACAGTTATCTGGCGCATGCGGGTGTAGACGGTGTTAAGGTGGACGTTCAATGTATCTTGGAGACACTGGGTGGTGGGCTAGGTGGAAGAGTCGAGCTCACAAGGCAATACCATCAAGCCCTTGATGCTTCCATTGCCAGGAACTTTCCAGATAATGGTTGCATCGCCTGCATGAGCCACAATACTGACGCGCTCTACTGGTAAGTCCAAAGCTGAATCCTCTGTTCCTAATTTTTCGAAAAGTTTCAATTCGTTTGTTTCAATCCGGAGAAAACTGACAAATGTTTCCTTTTTGTGTTTCATATTAGTAATATTTTGATAAAAATAAAGTAAGTAAACGAGTATATTAAGGAATTGTTATTGAACTGGCTAAGGTCATTAAGAAAGAATTAGATACTTAAAAACGAGTCTCTGATTATTGTTGTCTGATGGGCTGTGGTGTATGGAATGTTATGAACAGCTCAAAGCAAACGGCGGTGGTGAGAGCGTCGGACGATTTCTACCCGCGTGATCCGGTTGTCGCACACGATCCACATCGCCGCCGTGGCATACAACAGCGTTTTCCTCGGAGAGATAATGCAGCCGGACTGGGACATGTTTCACTCTCTTCATCCTGCTGCCGAGTACCACGCCTCCGCCAGAGCCATCAGCGGTGGCCCTATCTACGTCAGTGATGCGCCGGGGAAGCACGACTTCCAGCTCCTGAGGAAGCTCGTCTTGCCGGACGGGTCAGTACTCCGAGCGCGTTTGCCCGGTAGACCCACCAAAGATTGCTTGTTCAGAGACCCGACTCGGGATGGCGTGAGCTTGTTGAAGATATGGAATATGAACAAGTACACAGGAGTTATTGGCGTCTACAATTGCCAAGGAGCGGCGTGGAGTAGCTTAGAGAGGAAGAACGCTTTTCACGAAACCACATCAGAAGCCATAACAGGGTACGTGAGAGGCCGTGATGTCCACCACATTTCGGAGGCGGCTGCCAGCGTTGACGGTGAGTGGAACGGCGATTGTGCCGTGTACTGTCACCGGACCGGCGAGCTTGTGATTCTCCCATACAACGTGGCGATGCCGGTGTCCCTTAGAGTGCTGGAGCATGATGTTTTTACGGTGACCCCCGTGAAGGTTCTGGGTTCTGGAGTGAGTTTTGCTCCGGTGGGACTCATCGAGATGTACAATGCAGGCGGCGCCATTGAAAGGCTTGTGTACGAGGCAAAAGGTGGAAGGGATGAAATTAGGAGTGACGGATTGGAGGCTTTGGTGCGTATGGAAGTAAAGGGATGTGGGAAGTTTGGTGCTTATTCATCGGCCAAACCAAGAAGGTGCTTGGTGGGTTCTAAGGTGGTGGATTTTGATTATAACTCAGATTCTGGGCTAACGATTCTCAATTTAGATCATATGCCAGAGGAGGACAGAAAGTTCACATTGTTGAGGTTGAGCTATGAGATCTCGAATGTTATTAGTTATAAGGCAGGTTGGGGAGAATTGGTGGTGTCAGGGAGATTTGCTTCTCATCACCTTCCTCTGAATGTTCTGTTACATTACAGAATGCAGTGCTTTGGAACGATAAGAGGGGTTCAATAAATGAGTTGTAACCATTGCATAACATGTATGCAATGCGCATTTGCAAATACCACGTAACCCGATCTAGAGCAGCAGTTTGCCTCCTCCTCCTCCTTCTTTTTTGAAATTTTCTAAATGAACAACTATCTTATTTTGAAGGAAAAAAAATACTAGTAGACTACAAGGGAAAGAAAAGGCACCAACAGGAAGGACCAAAAAAATTAATTTATAATTAAACTTACAAATTCTTGAAGAAATTCAGATTCTCACATGCCAACACCACCGGGAGGAATTTTGGGCTAGTGGAGCAGTTACTACTAAGATTATAGAGCAGATGAAGGCGCTCCCGGCATACAAACGTTTCAATGACACTGCACCAAGCCCAAATTTTGGATCTTTCTGTAGAAGATGACGTTACAATTTACAAATCCTAATTAAGCCAACAAAATTTTGAGCTATGGATAACCTTCTAGACATTTACAAATCTCACACAAGAGATTGTGAAAAATCCATGGACTGAGAATAAACGTAAGCCCTTGAAATCAAGATTCGGACACTTGTCTGTCATCCTGACTAAACTCACCATTGTTCTCATGTTCTAGAAGCTGCTGTTCCAGCTCCTGCTCAAATCCTTTATCATTCTCGAATCCTGTTTGTTTACAGAAGCTTTCTTTCTGGGCTTGCCAATCATCAGCAATCTTTTCTGCAGCATCTCCTAGAAGTTCCTTATTTTCTGATATGTGCTTTATGTTCTCCACATCTATATCATTGCTTGCTTCTTCATGAAAATAGAAGACAATCCATTTACGAGTTAAATTACTGAAAATATTGCGTGAACTGGGGAAAAAAATGCAATCTTTACAGAAAGGGAAGAAAGGAAAAATAAACCAATACAAACTCTACAAAATATACGGACAATCATACTGCATCAGCACGAGTTTAGTCATCCTATTGTAGATCATTAAAAAATTAAATAAATGCAGTAAATCTCATTTTGAGAATCTTGAATCTTGATGGTACGAATTAATCACAAGTCATTTCTGGAATAGTCTTTAGAAGTTTCGAAATGTGCATTCCGCCAACTGAGAAGGCATAACATGGTGGTTCATCCACGTATACGTCAATCTCAAACTTGTTCATCTTCATTATCGGCATTCATGAATGTCAACAGAAACTGACAGCACATAACAGAAAGTAGTTTCTTAGGGGATTCATAAGATCCTGACAATAAGAGTACCTCCAAGGTTATCTACATGGACACCTAGGCAAAGACAAACACGGGAAAGTATCATAGGAAAAATTAAAGTACCTTTAATGGCCATGCTCTTTGCCTCTGCATATTCAGATGACATTTTCTTCAGCGAATTTAAGTCAATCTCCGTGCCCTTGAATGAGGAAAGCAAAATTGAAAAAGATGTACATTAGATACACATCAATCCAAGTACACAAGTACATAAAAATACACCTCTAAGTTTTTGAATATTTTTTGGATGACACAAGATGGGCTAAGCCCAGATTAGATAGCTAAAGGGGACTCAAGCCCCAGCAAATCTTGCTCGCCTAAGGGCTCCATTTCTGGTGGGGCTCTTCGAAAATATAGAGCCTAAACAAATCATGCACGGGGTGATGTGGTAGTTAATATGAATTTCTAACATTCTTTCATCTCCTAGAAGTGCCCCCAGTCATTATTACTCAACTACTTGATACATGTTTCGCAGACAACTCGTACAGATTTATTTGATTAGCACATCACAAGGTGCAATCTCAGTGCTACTTACAAGGTCCATGTGAATGTATTGCTCAATCGGAGTATTTTCAAATAACCTGTCATCCACAACGAAAGCAGAAAATAATTAAGTTGTAGAGGTAGTTACACAACCATGACTAATGTGACAGAAAGAATCATAAATTTAAGCAATACTTCTCATATGCAACTTGTATACGAGCATTCTGTAATTGTTCGAGTTGGTTTACTGTCTCTGCAACAGAGCCTTCCATTAAGTCAACAGCGCCAAAAAGGAACATATTGTTTTCTAGCATTCTTCTAACCAAAGTAGGTACGACTTTAATATCACTTGCATTTGCCTCGGCAACAAGGAGTCTAAGCTTCCTTAACTCCCCTGTAAAGGAAAGGGAGATATCAGGTCAACATAGAAACTAGCAGACAGGCCAGAGGTATGAACCCAATATGCAAAACTTAGGACCCAGTTTCTTAATGTCATTGCATCTTATTTGGAGTCAAATTTTCTATACTCATGTCAAGATATGTTTGATTCAATTTGAACAGTAATATAGAAAAACTGACTGTCGGTTGTTCAAAAATTAATTTGAAAGTATTACTGGAATCTCAAGTATGACCACCTATAACTTGGGCTGCCACGAAACGTAAAAATAAAGCTGGTAGTTAATGTTAATAATTATACTCAAGAATATATGCTTCATAAGACCCAAAAAAGTAAATCTTCAGAACTGTCATGCATCATAACATGTATCATCTTAAATTGCTAGCATCTGCCTAGACAGATGCAGATGCAAGAGGGGAGCCAACACTAAAAGATAAGTAGATAATGAAAAGGTTAAAGAATGTATCACTTCAGTCATTCAGAGAAAAATTGATCATACCAAGGGATAGATAAACTCTGAAAGGAGGTTTAAATGGTTGAGTCTCATATAAACAGTAGAGGCAATAGAGGCCACCCAATCTGTGCAAAAAGGAGGCAGTGCCGACCATGTAACCTGCATAGGATCAAAAAATTGAACATGATAAAGTAAAACGTTAAAGAGAACTAAGTACAACTTCCTCTGTCCCTATTTACTTGTCCTGATTTGAATTTTCATTTTGTCCCTAAATATATGTCATGCTTCAAATTTCAAGGAATAATCATACTTGTTTCCAATAATAACCCTGTTAGATGGAGGGCATTCAATGTATATAGTTAAGATTTTAAAATAGCGTGGCATCAAATGGAGGGCAAAACTGGAAAAGAAAAAATAATTCTTACATAACAAAAATTTTGCTTTCTCCTTGATCTGTGTCTTTTCTCCTATGATAACAAGTAAATAGGGACAGAGGAAGTACAAACATACTTGAACTTGCAAACATTATTTACTAGTAACTAGTGAAATTTCAGTGATAAATTATGAAATGAATTATTAAGTCTACATTCTTTTCTCTCTGCTTTTTAAATTTAATGATTTGTGGCAACGGAATTTAACAAAGAATAAAGATTCAAAATGAAAATCAACATCATTGGTGTGTGGTAAATTTGATAAACCAGGTGATTGGCTTGCTTTTTCCAGTTTCCACACAGCGTAACAATTTGCTGCTGCAAGAGTTTATAGGATACAAATATACCAATAGAATGGCATACAGAGATTGCATAAAGAAGGCCAGGTTGGTAGAAGGACTAGCTTCATAAATGTAAGAGAACTTCTTCGAAAGCCATACTCTCTTCATGTTAGCAAAAGCTGTTGATCCACCCTGTCATACACCATGTTTGTATGCAATAAAAATTGATTAAAAATCATGGGAGAGATCACAAGGTCCAAAACATTATAAGTAGCTGGCATGACTGGGAAAAAAACAATAGAAAAACCTGAGTAAATTCATCAATAAGCTCATCAATGTCCAATTTGAATGAAGTGAGATTCATAATTTGCGCCTGAAAAAAAAATGCCTTCTATTTGTTAAAAATGAAGGCCAAAATTTGCAGTGCTCTATATAAAGTGGCAGGAAAAGAATAGACTAAGTATAGAAGACACTACAATCAACCAGAACATGAACAAGAAACCAAAAAGGGATAGTTAAAGGGTTTTCAAACTTGCTCAATAGCAAATGAGCATTCTATAGAAGATCACGTCCCAAACTTTCATGAAATATGAGCATGCCCTCTATTGCAAAGACCCGTGCCAAATCAAAGTTAGGTTAACAACATCACTTCAACTTAACTATGAACAGACCTTCTTATGTAGCATAGAGGCGGTGAAAAATAAGAAAAATAAATTTATTCCTGATAATAATTTTGAAAACCAATTTCTTGAGACAGCGCCAAAATTTTAATATTTCAAGAGAAGCTTAGGGGGAAAAGGACCTTTTCCAAAGAAAATGAAAATGCGGTTTGCAAATAAGAGATGTGTTTGGGAGTTAATTGTGCATGGAGAAGATGCTAACATCACACAAAACTTGTGATAACTTGAAGTCTACTACTCAAAATTAATATGTCCTCAATTTAATTTTAATTATCCTAATCACAACACATGCAGAATAGAAAGAAGAGAAAAGAAAGAAATTAATTAAATAAAAATAAAAAAAATAAGTATTTACAGGACAAACAGACTTGGCTTAGGAAAGTGATCTAAGACCTACATACCTGCTAGAGGGCATCAAAGCCCATGTTAAATGGGGTAGAAAACCATGTCACCACCCTTCCAAGCTTAACAAGAACATTAAAATCCCCTCCTCCCATCCTCTCCATTGAATCAAAAAACTGCATCAGTGTGAAAGGGAATACTAAGATATTGGGCAAGCCAACTTCCGCCTATGGCACTAGTGTTTTCAAACACAAGCTGACCAATTTATGGATCCCTGGCTCAAAAATATAGATATTTATATATAAGGCTTATCAAAAGTGATTGGCAGTGTTGAAAGATATTCAAGCCAGGGCAGACCAATTAAATGCTAGGTATTGAAAGTCTTGTATTGTGGAATTGGCAACTATGTATGTTTTTAGATATGAAGAGATTAAATCCATCCTGTTTCCAAGAATTCCATAGAAATAAAGAACCATAAAAGCGGTCGGCTGGCAGAACAAGATCAGTCTTCCTCATAATCGGGTCCAAGCGTCACCCGTCAGGTTTTCCAAGAATTGCCTCAAGCTTGATTACCACTTCTTCTCAGCTCATTTTCAGCACTCAAATAAATTCCAGAACAAACACCTCCTTGATGGGTTGCTTCGGATATCTTTCCCAAATTTGAGGCCAAGTTAGATTTTTTGTGTGTTCATCTTTGATAAGAAAAAGGGAAATAGAAGAGAAGAATACAGAAAAAAGACAAGCTCAGATCATACCAACTGTCATAACTACTCTTTCATCTGAGTAAACATCCATATAAGCCTTATAACTAACTAAAGTCAGTTACTGCGATCAAACTATTTCAGATTCTAATTATAGACGCCTAACATTTTCTCAGCATCATAGGCGAGTTATATGGTTTAATAGATTATGAAAACTACGAAAATAAACGCAGTAGTCCAACTACTTTCTGCCCAGTAGTTAATATCAAAGACAACCTAATTCACAAGTCACAAAAGATAGGAAAAAGGCGCATGTGGCATTCGTGCATGAGCTGGAATCAGATGCAGCATCACCCCCACCCCAGACAACAACCCCAAAAGGACGAACAAAAGACAATTTTCGCAATTGATATAGAAGCGTTGAAGAGCTCGAAGGGATTAGCGGAAGGGGTGAACAGAGAGCAAAACACTGACCTTGATGAAGAGATAACTGAGCCGACGGCGAGAGCAAAGGGGTCGACAGATAGCAGACGGGGTGAAGGGAAACGAGTTAGCTGGAGCCGAAGACTGATGCTGGCCAGCGCTGGTGAAGGTATCGTTCAAAGGTTGGGCTCGGAGGAGTGAGAAGACAAGGTGGTTTAGAGCGCCGAGGAAATGGAAAGCCCGGTCAGGTGAGAAGCGCGAAGACGAAGACGACGCTGAAAGGCACGAAGGCGAGAAGCGAGGAAGACGCGGGAGAGAGTCGATTGTCGAGAGGGTGGAATAGATTTTTTTTTTTTCCTTTCCAGTTAGCTTTTGGTTTTCAGCCAAACGGAGTAGCCAGCATGGGTATGTTAGGATTGGTGTTGGACAAAACTGACTTCTAATCCAACTGACTTTTGTAATTGAAGTTAGAGTAAAAGTCAGTTAGAGTATGTTTGGATAGGTATTTTTAAAAAGTCAGTTGAAAAAGTTGAAAGTTGTTTGGATGATTAATAGAAAAGTTAGTTTAGTTGTAAAATGACTGAAAATGGTATGGACTTTATTGAATAGTAGTTTTTGAAATTTCATGTTTTTAATTTGATAATAGTTTAAAAAAATATATAAAATTATTATGATAAAATATAAATAGTTTATTTGTGAAATTATGAAATAAAAATATTTATTACGGAGAAAAATTTAAAAACACATTATAGATAATTAATTAAATATACATAATGGACAAACATGAATATAAATTAAAATTCATTTGGTCTCTAATTAAAGTAAATGAAATCACATAATTAATTAGATAGTAAGCTTTGCACAATTTGGTCCCTAATTGAGTCACGAACACGATTCATTTGTGCGGCAGATGTTAAACTTGACGAGGATGCCTCACCAGCTGCATGATTATTGTCTTCATCTATTACACTTCCATGTTCAGCTTCTATAAAGCGATAATCAGTTGGAGAATTTTGCCTGATAAAATTATGGACAGCCATTGTTGCACAAACTATGCAGACCTGTGTTTGAAACTTGAATCTGGGCATATTTTTTAAGATTACAAACCTTTTCTTCCACACCCCAAAAGTTCTTTCAATAGTGGATCTCAAACTTGAATGATAATAATTGAAGGCCTCATTCTGATTTGTAAATCCTGGGTGACGATTAAAGTCTGGGAGATGATAGCGCTCACGTCTGTACGGGCCAAGGTATCCCACTTGTGATGGATAATCAACATCAACCAAATAATATTTTTCTAAAAAATCATGACTCAGTTATGTTAAGGTGAAAATAATACAAGTGAAGCTGAATTTAAAAATAATTAATTTGGAAATTAAAGAAATATACCTTCAGGTGGATGAGGGAAATTCATGGATGGAGTTGAGATAGCAGAATGAAAGACACGAGCATCATGTGCACTACCTTCCCAGCCCGCCAACACATGAATGTGAAGCACATATTCCAATCACATACGGCCATGACATTTTGACTAGAAAATCCCTTCCTATTGATATATTTGTCTTGCCTAGCTTGACTAACCTTACAATTTATGTGGGTACCATCAATTGCTCCAACTGCATCCCTAAAAAATAAAAAGTATCGTGAATCATTTGCTATTTTTGGGTGACAATAGGAAAATGTAGGATCAGTTGGCCTAATATTTTCTCGAGATAAATTGAGGCAAGCAGCCAACACTCTATGAAAATGCCGACTGACAGTTTCTCCTGAACGCTGAAACCTTTCCTGAATCATCCTATTACACTGGCCATGCGCAATTGTATTTAAGAACATGGCAACAGATTCATGGACACCTATGTACTTAGTATTTTGTAACCCATGTTCAACCAATTTAGAACATAACTGATGGAATGTCTCTATGTCCATTCGAAACATATCCTTAGACCGTCCTTCATGCCCGTCTAAAACTTCTCGAACCCACAAATAACCAGTTTGTTCACTAGTTCTACATGGCTGTTTGCACAGAAAAGGTGTCACATACTGACCCATTAACACACTTAGCTCTGATAATTGTGTTGTGTGTTCATGTAAAGCGGGAACTAATTGAGACCATTCGTCTCCCCCATCATCCTCCCAACCCTCGCCCCAACCCTCCGTTGAATCAGACATAATAAATGTGTGTTACCTGTGAATAGATAAATACTAAAGGTAAGTAAAAATTTTCACAAAAAAGAAAAGAAAAGAAAAGATAATACACAAATTATCATTAAACTTTAACATAATAATTAAACATAGTCATGAAACATACAACATTAAACTTAGTCATTAAACATAGTCACGAAACACACAACATTAAACCTAGTCATTAAATACATCGTCATAACACATAACACATAATACAACATTAAGGTAGAAAAATAGAAGTCATAACAAGTCCCCTGGCACAACTCAAGGATTCTTAGGTGCAGCATATGACGATGGATTTTCAGCATTGTGCTTCAACCAAGCCACTAATACCTTCCGATTTTCTCTCAGACCAGCATATATGTCCCTGAAAGTCTTGTTTGCCAGCAGATTACAACACATGACACAAATATGAGTGTCACTGACAATTTCCTCCATACTCAGCAAATCAGCAGTCAACTCAGTAGTGTTATCACTATTGGAGATTTTGTTTATTGCCGTTGCTGTACTAATGGAAGCCTTCTTAATCGAGCTTACTGCATCTGCTATTCTTTTTGTCGCTGGCATTTTTTGCTTCTTGTACTTATCCAACCCTCCACCTCTCTTCCTCTTTCCTTGGCTCCCTGAACCACTAGATATATTGGGTGCAGTGTTTGATGTATTTGCAGTTAAATTGATACCGTCCAAATCATCCGAAACTCCTGCACGGCGTCTAGTGTCAACACCTATCAGCCCGTCTTCACTGTCCCCTGAACCTTCTTTCCAATCCATTGTGGGTCGGTAATCATTTGGCTGATCAGCCCTCTGTGGCTCAGGCTGGGTCGAAGAAGGTGACCACATATCCTGTCCTGATGCCATAGTGCCCTTGAATAGAGTTTCTAATTCAGTCCGGAATTTTAACCCATGCTGCCTAAACTTTTCGTATGCTGGATTTTCCTGCAAAGCCAAAAGTAAACAAAAGTTAAATTATTTTCAAAAGTCATTAACTGCTTAAAAATTAACAGAAGCTAGTTCATACCCGCTTCTTTCTCTCCCACCACTCATCAGATGCCACCACTGTGTTCCTTTCAGGGTCCCACCCTATACCGGTCTCCTTACCAATTAGCTGCTCAAATGCCTTCCACTCTTTTCTCAAGTTATCTAACCTATTTTTCAGCTGTCTTTTCTCATATCCTCTCCCTGTCTTTTCATTGAATGTTTTGTGAATGATGTCCCAGCCTTGCTTTGTAAACGAGGATCCTTGACGATGTTTGCTATAAATTGTGTCCATGCATATTTTGAGAAAAACACCAGTAGTGCTTACATCCCAATGCGCTTTACCTTTATCGTTACTCATTGTTCTTGATGAAATTAAAAAAGTATCAAATCCACAATAAGTTTAGAATCAAGCAGTAGCACACAGGAATAAACCCACAATTAACAGTGTCTGCTTAAACTTTCTGTTTAGAAGCAATCAATCAATACATTTTTAAAGTAATAATGTTTATATATCTTATCCACTTTATTCACCATAGGGCAGCCTAACCATATCCCTCTTCACCAAGAGCACAAAATTCTAAATGAAATCCCTGAATAATAAGTCTCACATATTCTTAAGAATGATATTTTGAAAATAACAGAGTTTACAACATGTTAAAACAAATTAGAAAAAAAAACTATTTTATATTCTGAAAAAGGAAAACAAATTCGATGTTAAACCCCGGGCACAAGTATGACATTCAAGATTGAATTATATTCCTAGAATGGCTCCTAGTAGCATTTCGAGTGAAGCAGAAGTCAAACAACACAGGCAAACATAGAGAAGCACTAGCACCTAGTTGAAGGAGAGTGAAGCAAATTCATCACAAATGGAAAATTCATCACAAATAACAGGACACAAAAATTAGCAAATTCATCAGATACTACAAGAGAATTAAAACCACAGACCACTGTCAGAGGAGCAGACAAGTTCGAAGGAGGGTGAAGCTAAACGGACAGAAGTAGTAGCAATCGAGAGGCACAAAACTTCCCTCTGCTTTCACAGTGTATCTAAACGAAAAGGAGAACAACAATCAAAACTCAAACATGGCAAGAGTTTCTGTACCAAATCTCAGTCCAGCTCAAATATATATATGTATATATATGCATCACACACGGTGACCTTACCTGCGAATTGGAGCTGCGAGTTGAAGACCTTCAACCAGCCCCAAGCAGAAGAGAGTGACGGAGGGAGAAGTGCCGACTTCAATGGACACGGTAAATCGAGTGGAGCAGAACAGAGTTGAAGACTTGCGTCCGAGTTGAGGCAGCCACGGTAAATCGAGTAAAGTAGAAATCAAATGGAGCAGAGATGGCTGGATCTACGGGAAGCACAGCTACACATCAATGAAGCACGGTGAAGGTCAACAGATCCGGTGAAACTAACTCACTGAGGATGAAATGAAGATCTGGGAGAAGACCACTCCGATCTGCAGCAAATCAACTCCGGCTGATCTCTGGCACATCCAACAGCAAACGAAATTGCGAGCTCGGTCGAACAACCGGAGGACCACCTGAAATGGAAGAAGAAAATGGGAGAGCGTGAGAGAGAAGAGCAGGGGAGAACGCTTAGCCATGTGCGAGAAAATGGAGAGAGTGAAGGAGGGAGAATCACCGGTGACAGTCACGGACGGAGAAGCGCCGACGAGAGGGACGGAGGGAGAGCAGTCGGTGACGGTGAAGATGAAAGCCTGGGGTGAGCTCTACGGACGGAGGGAGTGACCTGAAATGGAAATGAAGGTGGATTCGGGGGAGGGGAAATTGAGGGAGGGTTAATACTGGTAGGTCATATTTTTCAGATACAATTAATGCTCCATAACAGTATATCTTAGTTTCAAATGCTCCAAAAGTAGCTCTGAGCTGCGTTTCCAGCGTTTACCATTTGGCTCAGAAGCTGGTTGCGTTAATTGTCCCAGCCAAACAATCATTTTTCTTCAATTCAGTTGCAAACCTTGGTTTCACAATTTCCTAGGGTCGTTTAGCGTTTGGGACAATAATCCAAACGAAGCCTATATACGGCTGCATGGACAGTCCCCCTGAAGCTAACGGGTTGAGATTTTTTCCCCCAACATGTTCAAAATGGGTTGGTGTAGTTAATAAAGAGTTCCCTAATAACTCACAAGATCCTAAATTGAAATCTTAAAAGGTCTTATTAACCGGCAATCTCTGAAAACATGTCTTAACTGTGACGAGGATGTAATTAACCTAAATTTTTATTGTACCAAAACAAATGATGAAGCATTTTTAATCAATTTTTACCTTAATAAAACAGTTATCACTATTAAAAAATTATCTACTCTTTTCATTTCTTTTGAATTACGAGCTATTGCTTAACTGCGGATCAAACCCACGTTCCAGTGCTATACCGGGCACATTCAACACCCCCGACCCAACAGGCCTTTGGCCTATTCTTTTCATTTCTATTCATTTTTATTCAATGTCTTTTGAAAAAAGCCTCATTAATTACTTCTACAAAACACCGAAATGCATTTTATTTTTAAATATTAGAAAGGTAGAAAAATACCTTATAATTTTAAATGAAGGGGTATATTTGTTGATGAAATGACAAAAGAAATTGTCAAACAATTTTTTTTTGGGTGACAAAATTGTCAAACGATTTTCACAAACAAAGAAGTGAAAATAGAAATTGTCAACAATTGCGCACCAAACAAAATATAGAATTGTTTCAAGTCAAACATTATCCATATTAGAAAAGACATGGCAAAAACTACAATCATATATAAAATTTACATTTAATATCATGAAGTATTTACTTATTTTTATAACCCTAAAAAATGTAAAATCAGCCATCACCAATCCACAGTGGTAGAAGTGTTTTTCTCAGTAAAAACCCAACAAACTGAGCATTCAAATATTATAATAATAACAAGTCTTATTCTACTGGGTGAAATCAAATGCATAATTAGGCCGTTAACCAAAAAGTTAGCTTCAAATAATGACTAAAATTTTGGGGGACTGCATGGACCCGCATTTGAAACCTTTGTTCCCCTCGTCAGGTCAGCGTTTGCAGATTAAACATCAAATCGTGCTGACACAAAAGGGCAAAAGAAAAATGACTAGTTTCTTAATTATAATCACCTTTAGACAAATAGTAGGACCCGCCGCCAGTCAAGGCCCAAATATATCAGGATTTAACACTGATTCTACACCAGAAATTTAACATCTCACGTCTGCCATTGGAATACAAGTCTAAATATGATACAAATTATAGCCTAACAACGAACTATGAACTAGTAGTAAACTATCCCCATCAACCTCCCAGCATGCACAACACGTCCAAGCTCAAATCTAGAAACCCCATTTTCACAGCCGCAGCGGAAGATTCTGCAGCTACATGCCATACTGCATCCAGTCCTTGGCACAAACAAGCGCTTCCACGGTCTCTGGTCGCAAGGAGCTCCGGTACTGATCCATCTCTTTGCTTTTCGTATCAAAAACAGAGTCAGGAGGAACAGTTGATGCTGCAACACACAATATATCCCGAGCCATCTTGGAAAGGGTTGGGTACTTGACTCTGTTTAGTCTCCACCAACCCCATACATCGATGTCTTGAACACGAGGGAGCAGCGATTCTTCCAGATATACGTCAAGCTCTGACTTCATTTGTTGGCTACTGGTTTCCATGATGTAGGCATCAAAATCAGTAAGACCACCATCTGATAACAGAGTTCCCCCTGGATATTCCTCCGTCTTCATCAGGCTTCCCTTTCCTTCGTCTGCATATGCTGGCGTTAGTGGGAGGGGAAGGGCCTCGTACTCACGAAACAGCTCATGAATCCCATCATCCACGATCTTGATATATGCATGGGCATCCTCACCATATACTCTTGAGAAACTATACTCAACAAACTTCATCTTTAAACGAGGATCCATAACTACTGCAGTTGCCAACACCAGACTACACTCTCTCCAGTACTTGTCAATTTTTTCTTGCATAATTTTAGTGAGGTTGCTAATGAAAGGATCCTCACTCATCACCGCACGAGCATAATCCAACTGCAGTTTCCAGACTTCTTGAAAAATAGTTATCGCAGAGGGAAGATTTGTTGTTGCGGCAAGAATGTTTGCCACGTCATAAATGGGTTTCAAGTATGTGCAGAGGGTCTCAACCAGCTTCCAATCTTGCATTGTTGGTGCTCCTTTGTAATCAGGATCAGAAGTATCCAAACAAGAAAATACTTCCTTCAACTCAGAAGCAGCCACAAGCATTTGGTATGTTGTATTCCATTGAGTCTGGTCATCGATAAACAGGTTTCTTTCGCTGGGAACCTGAAGTTGCTGCTTAAGCTCCAGGAACTTTTCCTCACGTGATTCTGAAGTTTTCACATATTTTACACTACTACGAATTTTCTTGACTATTTCTTGTGCTGATCCCAATAAATCGGTTGCAACACTGCTTAAATTACGGGCAATGCAGTTGCCAAGCACCAACTGACCATTGAGGATAAGCGGATTTTTAACCGAGAGTAAAGGTCTGAGATTTTCAGGAGCACCACCATTCAGCGCCTGATTAGTAGTGATAGAAAAGAGTCTTCCTTCCAATCTCCAATCAGACACACAAGCAGAAACAGCATCGCTGAGTGCCGAGTCGGAATCAGGGTAGGGTTCCATAACAACATTGAGAATTCGCCTCTGCAACTTCCAATCAATATCAACAAAATGCCCGGTAATAAATACGTACCCCACAGACTGACTGGACGTCCACATATCTAATGTCAGACAAAATCGTCCTGATAGTCCCTCAAAATGCTTCATAAGGTTCTGCTTTTCTCTCAGATATGCTGCAACACAATCTCCTTGGATGGTGTTGAAGGTTACCATATTGAACTGGGGCTGTAGATTTTGGACAAAGGCAACAAATCCCGGGTGCTCTACCATGTGAAGGGGGTAATCATGCATGATGATCATTTTAGCAATCTCATGGCGACATCGATCTTGATCAAATATCATGTAAGGCGTGCTAGGGGATCTATAACGTCTTTTTGGTGTATCAATAGCACTGCCACCTCCGCTTCCTCTTCCTCGTGGAGTATAAGGAGATAATTGATTCTGCTGCTGGTTACGAAGAAGAGCCGAGCAGGTACCCTTAGCAATGTGGCGTTTGAGGTGGCTGGTACCAGCAACTTTTGAACCTGTACTATAGGCAAAACTTTGCTTGCATTGTTTGCAGCATGCCCTTCTACATCCAGGACTGACGGTTTCTATGGTGAAGTGCTCCCAGACTAAAGATTTCTTTTTCCTCCGTTTGTTTGGCTGAGTTTCAGGGGTACGTTCATCGTCATTGTGCTGCGCAGAAGCATCTATTATCTCATAGTTTGGAGGGGTCTCAGAATTTACTATCTCATACTGCGATTGAGAAACAACTAGTTCATTGTTGTTCCCTGCTTCACCGTTTGCTATCTCATAGTGAGACAACATTTGAGAATCTGCCAACTGATCATGGGATAGAAATTCAGAGTTCGACAGCTGATGATTGGGCATCGTCCCAGAATGTGTCAGATGATTGTTTGGCAACGTCTCATAATGAGCCAGATTATTGTCGAGTATGGGCTTGGTGTCCGTGGGATGGTCGTTTTGCAGCGGTTCAGTATCAAAATTATGGAGCGATTCAGGAATTGGCATCTGATTTTCATCAAGCATGTGGAAATTAGTGAACTGATTATTGGGAAGATGTTCAGGATGGGCGAACTGATTGTTGGGATGCGTTATGGAATTTGCTTCAGACATTACGATATCACTAGTCTCTGTTTCAGATATGAAAGCGCCATTGCCAGGTTGTGCCTCCGGCATGGCCACCTCGTTGCCAGGCTGCGCTTGAGGCTTGGCTGCTTCGTTGCTGGGTTGTGTTTCGGACATACCCACGTCATTATTGGGCTGAGTTTCAGACACAACCACCTCGGCGCCCGGTGGTGTTTCAGAAATAATCACATCGATGCTGGAATGCGGATCAGAACTAATCACCTCATTGCTGGCTCTTGTTTCAGAATTATCCTGATCACTGTTCGGCGGTGCCTCGGAATTGACCAGCTGGCCGCTGGGTGGATCTTCGGGAGCGAGTTTCTTTTCAGGAGGAGCTTCAGAGCTAACTAGGTGGGCGTCAGGGTTGACCAACTGACTGGTGGGTGGTGCCTCGGAATGAACGAACTGATTGTTGAGTTGAGCCTCGAAATCACCTGGCTTGTTGTTAGTCTCTGATTCAGAATTTACAGATTGATTGGCAGGTGCTTTCTCACTAGCGGCCTGGCTCTTGGACGTTTGAAGCCCCTGGTCAGCTGTTTCGCTACTCGAGTGATCATTGTCAGGCTGAGATTCAAAATCTTCCAACTTACTGTCAGGAACAGGTTCAGAAGTTGCCAGATTATTGCTAGGATGAGAATCTAGACGAACGGGATCGTTCTTCACATCAGGGGTCACCATTTTCTCTTTTTCGTCTCAAAATCTCTGCTTTACCTAGCAGAAGCAATTAATAATAATGGTGAATGAATAACAATCTCAGAACATCTTCCAGACATGAATATAGATGAAAGACCACATCTAAATTACTTATGTGTCATAAAGCACATTCATGTACATGCACATCTGGTCATGCTTACTTCCGTTAAACATCTTCCATGTAGATGAAAGAAAATATTCATATAAATAAAATAATCGATGATCGGTGAAAGAGAAGAAGAAAGCAAAGAAGTTTTCCGACAAATTGAGAAGCCAGATTTCTTGACGACAAACAAAAGAGGGAAAAAATGAATTGAACATGTATAGCAGCAGCTACACAAGAAAGAACTGTTAAAGAAGTAAATCTTCTATTGAACACAACTGTTTGCATCAATGGAAAATTAATGGGAAAGTAGTGAACCCACTTTTACCATTCCAAAGCATCAGTGGAACAAGAAAAATGACTTTTTCGAGAACATCCAATCTTAGAGAATGAACTAAAAAGAGGTGAACACCACAACAAACACAAGACATAATGCAGATATCTTGTGTTAAAAGTGAATTCTAGACCCTTGCTTGCAGACAGGAAATGAAGTTCACTTTCTTTCTTCTCTTGGCTGACATGTTTTGCATTTGGGTTCTATCAAAAACCACTGGCAATTTTTTTCTTTTTGGTCAAATGGCCCTTGGCAATCTTAACATCAAGTGAACACGGCAAAAGGCATATCAGCGCCCCAGGGAGCTACGGGCTTGAACCATAACTTTTGCTACTCAACTGTTATTGAGGCGGGAAGGCACTTAGCAACAGAATAATAAAAAAAATTTGGAAAAGTCATAACCTTGATACCGATAATTTTACTCAAGTTTCAATTTAGTTCATATAGTTTAGAACTTTACGCTTAAGACCTTGCAATCTAAAAATTTTAGACTTAGTCCTACAATTCAGATTATATTTAATATTATGTTAAATTTTAGTGATGCAACTAATCATACATTGTTTTCACAATTGACACTCCAAATGTGTATGATTTATGTTAATGAAAGAAATAAATATACAGATGATGAAGAAAGAGATAAATCCACATATATGGTAAAATGTTAGCAAAACTATAAAAACAAGGACCAGAATTAAATATGAGTGAAATTATAGGAATAAAAGAATATAATTTTTCCCATCAAATTTGTAACAAACAACTAACAAGAAAATTCGTATAAAATTTTAAATAAATGAACTGTAATTGCGATATATGAAAATAAAAACTTGTTTTGGAACAGCCAGGTGGATGACAAATCCATTTAAGCATTAATTAAATAAAAAGTTTATTGAATATATATCAGATTAATACAATTTTCTTAGTAGGGAGCCCCTTTTTAAATTGCAAGGCAAAATGGCGAGCAGGGAGGAGAGGAAGTTCCGCATCGCCTAACACGGCGGAAAAGAAGCGGAACAAGCCAATATGTAAGAAGACAAGGCCATGCCGAAAGTTGCAGTTGGGCTTTAACAAAGGGAAAGGCCCATGTGAGTGTGAGCATACACTCATCAATGGACAAAATTTAAAATTTAAGACTATTGTAACTATAATTATAAATAATTTAATCGAGCTGGTTTTTGGCTCAGCTGTTACCGAACCGGATGGCTTGCGTGGTGGCGTAGGTTCCAGTGGCCTTGGCCACTAGGTCCAAGAAAATGAACTGATGTTATATCATTCACAACTAAATTTACCATAAGTCAGTCGTCGGCTGAATTGGCCACTGACTGTAAATGAACCCGATATGGGCCCACGAATCAGTCGGGTCGGCCCAGCAAACTTTAATAGGAACATTCAAAAGAATAATAAGTGCCCGGAGGAAGAGCAGGCCAGCCGATGAAGGACAGAAAAGAAAGACCACCATCATAGCCCACACAGGGTCAAAATTGGTATATCAATGGGCTACTACCGGCGGAAGCGAAAAACCAATATACAAAACCGATCTATAGCGATGATTAGCCCAGATCAGGAACGTCCCATCCATGGACTGAACAAAAATTTCGAACCATAACGAATGCAAAATCAACTCTTCGACTAAAATGAAAACGAGCAGAACAAAACAAAACAAAGGTGACCAGATCCAATTATTATTTATCAGTGGCTACACGCAACCATTCGATGAACTTCGAAAATCACCAGAGGAAACCAAAAGAAGACGGACATCTAACTTACTAATGCCAGCCAGAAATTAAATGCAGCAAAACAACAAAAAGTACACGATCAGAAAAAAAATTAGGGTTGGGGATTTACCAGCCAGAAGAAGGGACCGAAATTGCGAAACCAATACGCGGAGTCGAAGGTGGAAGCTCGGAGACCGAGCTACAGAGCCCACCGGAGAGCGATCGAGGGTTTAGAGAGAGGGAGGGAGGGAGGAGAGAGAGGGAGATTGGGCTTGGGAACAAACCCGAGAGGCCAATTGGACCTTCGAGAGGAACGAACTGGTTCGGTTTGAAGGGATAGGGTTTCTGGCGCCTCAGAAGGTTCCCGATAGGGCAGATCTTATGGATTTGGGATTTGGACTCTCGGTCCATTATTTTCAGTTCGCTCTTATATTTATTTTTATAATTTTGATTATTTTTATTTTTTAAAAAAAAATTCGCTCAGTTTTTTCCCCTGGAAAGAGAGCCCAGGAATTGGTCGCACAACGTGGATGACGTGTGAGAGAGTACGTATTAGCCCAATCACATTACGATGCGTCCCACATTCGTTTTTTTTTTTTGGGGGGGGGGTGTTAAATACCAACCCAATATTCTGTTTTTGATTCGTCTCCTGATTCTGAGGCTATCTTTCTTCATTTATTAATATTACATCCACAACTATTTTTATTTCTACTCTCGCCCACCCTGTGGGAATGGGTTAAAAAAGGGGTTAGCCCAGGTGAGAAGAACTTGATATGCGAATTATGTGAATGGGAAATCATGAAATTGACCCAAAAGAGGAAAAAGAAAAAGCAACAGGAAGCAGATCCAGTTTATGCCAGCAAGCAGAGCGAACAAATAGCGTCCTGAGTTCCGAAAAAGGAAAAAGGGGGCAAAATGCAGAACACCACAAGAAAACATAATTATGGAACATACATACATACATACGTAGGAAGGATATGTGACAAGCGTATGATAAAACGAAATTAGGATTTTAGGGATTTTACCTGTTCGGTAAAGGGACTGCGACTGCGACTGCGACTGCGAAGTGGTTGCCGCGCGGTGTTGAAGGATGGTGGTCCGAAATGTCGTCCACTCTTCTTTTTTGCTTCGCGGGAAGATTTGTTGTTTTAGAGAGGTGAACTCAATCTTTTAGCCTAAAAATTTTTATTTGCTCTTTATTTATTTTAGGAAAAGTTAACCTTTTAGCCTAAAAATTTTAACTCAATCTTTTTATCATGACTGTACAACTTAATTCTTAAATTTTTATTAACTCAGTTTTTAAATTTTTAATTCAGTTAAAACCTAATCTTCTAATCTTTTTCCATTTGATAAATTATTTTTTTTATGCATGGCTCACCTTGACTCATCCTAAGCGGCTTCTAAGTAAGTTCCACATAGATTAAATAGAAATTTAAAAAAAAAAAGGGTTTTTCACGGCTGGCTTACTTGATGTCTTTAATATCGAATTTTTATGCTACTCTATTTTTTTTTTTTTTGTATAAACAAGAAAAGCTGCTCTTTTTAAGATAGATACACAGTCCCTTTTGAAAAGTCTATAATACAAAAAGATTAGTTACTGCTACAGCAATACATAACTTAGGCTCAACGGGAAAAAAAAAACAGAGAGAGAGAGAGAGAGATAAGAACGTAATGATTAATTGATGCTTTTTTTTCCAATAAAATGGGGAAATTTTGATGGTACTTTCTTAATTAATATTCCCAGTAGGACAAAAAAGGAGTAATTTCATAATTAACATCACCTTCCAACAAATCGTAGGAGTTATCAGCCAGGGCTTAACCTTAGCATCTAAAACTACACCAGATGCTAAATATTCCCATCCACTCGTACAAAATAACAGTTATTTAACTGGTACAAAATACAGCCTAATACAGAAAACTACAACTAGAAATAGAATACCCACAAAGATCTACCCTCAATACAGGACACATATACCTACAATCTAAAATCCCATTTTCACGGCCGCATTGGAACTCTCTGCTGACCCATGCTGCATCCAGTCCTTGGCACAAACAAGCGCTTCCACTGTCTCTGGGCGCAAGGAGCTCCGGTACTGATCCATTTCTTTGCTTTTCGTATCAAACACAGAGTCGGCAGGGACAGTTGACACTGGGACACACAAAATATCCCGAGCCATCTTGGAAAGAGTTGGATACTTGACTCTGTTTAGCTTCCACCAACCTAAAACATCGAAGTCTGGAACACGGGGTAGCAGTGATTCTTCCAGATACTGATCTAGCTCAGACTTCATTTGGTGGTTACTAGTTTCCATGATATAGACATCAAAATCTGTAAGGCCGCCATCTGACAATATTCCTCCTGGGGATTCTTCTGTCTTCATATGGCTTCCACCACTTCCTTCTTCAGCATACGCTGGGGTTAGAGGGAGGGGAAGGGCCACATACTCATGAAACAGCTCATGGACCCCATCATCAACGATCTTGATATATGCATGGGCATCCTCACCATATATTTTTGAGAAGCTAAACTCAACAAGCTTCATCTTGAAACGAGGATCCATGACCACTGCAATTGCCAACACCAGACTACAGTCTCTCCAGTACTTACCAATTTTTTCTTGCATGATTTTAGTGAGGTTGCTAACAAAGGGATCCTCACTCATAACCGCACGAGCCAGATCCAACTGCAATTTCCAAACTTCATGAAAATAGGTGATAGCAGTGGGATAAGTCGTTGTGGTAAGAATATTCGCAGCGTCAAAAATAGGTTTCAAGTATGTGCAGAGGGTCTCAACCAGCTTCCAATCTTGCATTGTTGGCGCTCCCTTGTAATCAGGATCAGAAGTATCCAAACAACAAAATACTTCCTTCAATTCAGAAGCTGCTACCAGCATTTGATATGTTGTACTCCATTGAGTTTGGTCATCAATAAAAAGACTCCTGTCACTTGGAACCTGAAGTTGCTGCTTGAGCTCTAGGAACTTTTCCTCATGTGATTCTGATGTTTTCACATATTTTACACTATTTCGAATTTTCTTGACTAAGTCATGTGATGATTCCAATAAATCATTTGCGACACTGCTTAAAGTACGGGCAATGCAGTTGCCAAGCACCAACTGACCACTGAGGATAAGCGGATTTTTTACCGAGAGTAAAGGTCTGAGATTTTCAGGAGCAACACCATTCAACGCCTGATTAGAAGTGATAGAAAAGAGTCTTCCATCCAAACTCCAATCAGAAAGACAAACAGAAACAGCATGGTTGAGTGCAGAGTCAGAATCAGGGTAGGGTTCCATCACAACATTGAGAATTCGCCTCTGCAACTTCCAATCACTATCAACAAAATGTCCAGTTATAAAAACATAACCAACGGACTGACTTGATGTCCACATGTCCAATGTCAGACAAAAACGTCCTGGCAATCCCTCAAAATACTTCATAAGGTTTTGCTTTTCTGACAGGTATGTTGCAACACAATCCCCTTGGATTGTGTTAAAGGTCACCATGTTGAACTGGGGCTGCAGATTTTGAACAAATGCAACAAATCCCGGATGCTCAACCATGTGAAGGGGATAATCATGCATAATGATCATTTTAGCAATCTCATGGCGGCAACGATCTTGGTCAAAAATCATGTAAGGTGTACTTGGGGACCTATAACGTCTTTTTGGTGTGTCACTAGCATTGCCACCCCCACTTCCCCTTCCCCGTGGAGTATATGGGGTTAGCTGATTCTGCTGCTGGTTACGGAGAAGTGCAGGACAGGTCCCCTTGGCAATGTGGCGTTTGAGGTGGCTTGTACCAGCAACTTTTGAACCTGTACTATAGGCAAAACTCTGTTTGCATTGCTTGCAGCATGCCCTTCTACATCCAGCACTGACAGTTTCTATGGTGAAGTGTTCCCATACTATGGATTTCTTTTTCCTCCGTTTGTTTGGTTGTGTCTCTGGGGTATGTTCTTCACTGTTTGGTTGTGTTGAAGCATCTATTATCTCGTAGCTAGGTGGGGTTTCAGAATTGACTAGCTCATACTGTGATTCAGAAATGGCTAGCTGATTATTGTTCACAGTCTCATTGTTTGACAGCTCATAGTGAGACAACATTTGGGAAGTGGCAAGTTGATCATGCGACATCATTTCAGGGTTTGCCAGCTGATGATTAGTCATTGACTCAGAATGGGCCAAATGATCACTGGGCAATGTTTCAAAATGGACCATATTATTGTCATGTACTGATTTGGTTTCAGTGGGATGACTGTTTTGTGGTGGTTCAGGTTCAGAATTAGGGAGTGATTCAGGAAGAGGCATCTGATTTTCATGAATCATATGGAAATCAGGGAATTGGTTAGTAGGAAGAGTTTCAGGATGGGGAAACTGATTGTCGGGATGTTGTATGGAATTGGCTTCGGACATGATGACATCACCACTGGTCTGTGTTTCACACATTCCCGCCTCATTGCTGGGTTGTGTGTCGGACATAACCACCTCATCACTGTGCTGCGTGTTGGAAATAACCACCTCATTGTTGGACTGCGCCAAACTATATCCTTGCTCAACCTGGCAGAAGAATTTATGAATGGTGGTGAGTGGATCAGCATGTATGAAAGCGGCAGCCTAAGAAGCAAATCTATAAGAAAATTGTTTTGATAGCATTGTTAACCAGAAAGAACTGTAAAATTGGTAAATTTATTAATAAAAAATAACAAACACAGAATCATTAGATCCATCAAGGTCAAAATTTACATCAATAGAAAATTGAAGGAAGGAATTCTTTAACAGAGTACCAAGCAGTGCAGCAACAAATTGCAAGGTTTCCACTCAGTTACTCTTCCAAAAGCATAATGTGAACCTAAAAGGAGGCTTTTTCAACCACATCTAATCTTTTGGAATGAATATAGAACTGATTTAGTCCACAACAATTTAATATAGAATGTTAAGAACTCACTTTGAAAGCGAGCCCTAAACAGCCAAACCCTGCTTGTTAATAAAAAGTGAGTTTGGCCTTTTGTTCTCCTTTTAGGCTTGTGCAGCTGCACTACTTCAGGTTTCAGTCAGTGCGAGTCCAAAGGACATTGGACTAACTATATTAAGCTAGGATATAAATACCAGTACATTTGGATTTGGCACCCCTCATAGACCGTGTATGCAGGTTACTCTTTTTTCATGTTTTTACTACATCACCAATAGCCACCAACTACATACTATAATTAATAGGAGTTTCCAAACAAGCATCAAGTATTAATCCAGAAGCAACTTGGAACCACAATTCAGTCAAGTCATCCCAGGTCGATAAGAAGGGGCACATTGTGAGAATATTTAAACAGAGAAACCCAGCAAAGATTCAATGCCACCAACAAAGCACACACAAACCAGGGTCGGAATAAGTATATCAATGGGCCAGCAGCATAACACTGGGATAATGAGAAAAAACAACTCTAAGGGATCCAGGGATTGGACTCACAAAAATGATTAGCCCAGACCACTAGATCCGCAAGGATAGCAACTACAAACTTCAAATCATTTGGATGCAAAAACAGCATACCTCATTGCTTGGCTGTGTCTCAGGAATGACTGCCTCATTGCCAGACTGTGTCTCAGGCATAACTGCCTCATTGCTATTCTGAGTCTCAGGTGTGACACCCTCATTGCCAGGTTGCATGTCGGGCATGACTGCCTCGTTGCCAGGTTGCATCTCGGGCATGACTGCCTCGTTGCCAGTTTGCGCCTCGGGCATGACTGCATCGTTCTCAGGTTGCGTCTCAGGCATGACTGCCTTGTTGCCAGGTTGTGTCTCGGGCATGACTGCCTCATTTACAGCCTGTGTCTCAGGTATAACCGCCTCATTTCCAGGCTGAACTTCAGACATAGCCATCTCATTGGCAGGCTGCGTTTCGGGGATAGTCATCTCATTGCTGGGCTGAGTTTCAGACATAACAGTCTCATTTTCAGACATTACAACCTCATTGACGGTTTGTGTTTCAGAGATTCCCGCCTCATTGCTGGGCTGAGCTTCAGAATTAGCCAGTCCATTGCTTAGTGGTGCCTCAGAATGGACCTGCTGATAGCTGGGAGGTGCTTCAGGGGTGACCAACTGACTGGTTGCCAATGCCTCAGAATGTGCCCGCTCATTGCTGGGTTGGGCCTCAGAATTGCCTGGATGGTTGCCAGAAAGTGATTCGGAATTTGCTGACTGATTGCTTGGAGATTCTCCAGAGTGGGCCAGCTCCTGCTTGGTTGATGCCTCCTCATTCGCTTCCTCACTAGTAGCTTGGTTTTCAGACGTGTTGAGCACCTTGCTAGGCTGTTTTTCAGAATTGGACACGTCATTGTCAGGCTGAGATCCAGACTTTTCCAACTTAGCATCAGGCAGTGATTCAGAAGTGGGTCGATCATTGTTAGGATGAGCATCTACACTGTTTGGTTCATTCTTCATATCAGGGGTAAGCTGTCTATCCTCTTGAACAGTAGCCATTCCGTTTGAGATTATATCTCCTCCTTACCTGGCAGGAGCAGTTATGAAAATTGGTGAGTGAATTACAAACAGAGAACACCTTCCAGACAACATGCAATAGATAAAGAATTGAAGAAAATGCATAAATTAATCATTCATCCTAAACTGCCTTTGTGAACAAGCAAATCTAATCTTGCTTACTGTCGTCGAATAATTTCCAAGAACACCCAAAAAAAAAAAAAAACACATATATAGACCACCGAGCGCACATAGTTGATGAAAAAGATAAATCTGAATGAAAAATTCTAACATAATGAAACATCAAAGTTCATTATTGACAAAACATGGAGAGAACAAATAAATTACGCATAGGAAAGCCATAGCAAAAGAAGTAAGGCAATTAGAAAATGTATAATAGGAAAATAAACAATAAAGAACTGTACAAGTAGTTAATCTGTTAGATTAACACATCACAGTTCTGGATTCTGTAGAAAAGTTGAAGTCTGAATCCGCATCGGCAGAAATTTGAAGGGAAATATACAAGTAGTTAACAGAGTTCCATGCAACAGAACGCAAGGTGCGTGAACTCACTTTCATAATAAATATCTAAACCAACAAAAAAAAAAATAGCGACTCTCTCAAGCACATCCATGCACACAGACAGAAAATGAAGTTTGGTCTTCTTTGATCTCTTCTTTTGGCATATGCAACTGCATTACTTCAGTTTGCACTAACTATATTAAATTCGACTAACTAGGATATCGATATCAGCATTTCATAAAGCGCCCATACTAGGTTGACATCATTTTAACAGCTGAAGGAAACTCCTTATCAAGTTACTGGGATGTACAGCAAAACTTGAGTTCCATCCGAACTATTTGATATGTTGCAATCTTGTTACGCCACATATGACATAAGATTAAACAGCAAGGCCCAACGGAGTGCCCATGAGGTTGAACTGCATGTTCCATACAAAGGTCCTTGCACAGCGTTTCTTGTGTTCTCAATACATCGCCTACAGTCAGCACATCAACACATGCACCTTAAGCCCGCTGCCTTGCTAAATCGGCCAGTGACTATGAAACGAAACAGACTTGGGCCCACAATTCACTCAAGCCGGCCCAGCTCAGTAAAAATACGAAAATTACATCAGAATTAGATGACCAAAGGAACCCAACAGAACAGACAATCCAGAACACAGACTTCCAACAGAGTCCACAAAAACAGGCTCGAGATTGGGATATCAATGAGCTCACACCGGCAGAAGGTGAAAACCGGAAAAAGGAAAGAGGATCTGGAGTCGATTTAGCTCACTGATTAGCCCAGATCAGAAGCGCTCCATGGATCGAAACGAAATTTCAAAGCTTTTGAATGCAAAATCAACTCTTTGACCGAAAGCTAAACGAAGGGAACGAAACAAAATCAACCAGATCCAATTATTATCAGCAGCTGCAAACCACCACCATGTTATGAAATTTGGAAATCAGGGCAAAACAAAAGGAAGTGTGTACGCAAGCTAATTACCAGAAAGAACCAGCAGTTTCATGCAGCAACCAGGCCTAACAGCAAAAGAAAAAGATGAGAAGAGGTTACGGTTAGAGATTCACCAGCTAAGAGAAGGATTTTTACAGCGAAAACCGATCCACGGAGAAAGGCGGAAGCTCGGAAACCGAGCTTCGAGGTCGCCGGAGAGCGATCTAGGGTTTTGCAGAGGAGAGAGAGGGCGGGAGGGAGATGGAGATTGGGCTTGGAACGAACCCGAGAGGCCAATTGGACCTTGGGAGAGAAGGGGTTCGGTCTGAGGAGATAGGGTTTCTGTCCTTCTGGTTCCTGAGAAGTGAACTGATTAACGATAGTGCAGTTGTCTTGGATTTAGAACTTGGACTCTTGGTCCATTGTTTTTATTTCATTTACATATATTTATTTTATTAACTTCCTCTCCTCCTCCCCCGTCTACTTCTTCTGTTTTTTTTTTTTTTGGGAGATTTGTGGGACGATAAATCCTCTCTCTCCCCCTGCCTTTTCCACTTGCGGTTTTTTTTTTTTGGGAGGAAAGCCCAGAAAGTAGGTGAGTGCGAGGAGCGTGCGGGGGAGGCGTGTGTGAGTGGGCGTAGCCCAATCATTTAACGATGCGTCCAATATTCTGCTTTTGATTCCCATTCGGAATTATGAGGGTTTTCTCCCCCCCCCCCGGGGGGTAATTACGTTTACATCCCTCTTGGCCACTGCTAGTTTTCTTTCTTCTATCGCCCACAGATCTGCTTTCGCTTTGACTAATCACATCTTATCCCCTGGCCTTGCCCACCTAACTGTTTCTCCATCTCGGTTGGCTCTTTTCTGGTTTAACTTTGAAATTAAGTCATTTCCATTTTTCCTTTTGGGTGTGATTAAATTTCCGTCCCTTTTTTTTTTTGACATTACAATGTCTTAACTAGTAATGAACAACGAGGGGGAAAAAATGGAGAAAAAGAAATAAGGACTTTAACATGTGTCCAGGAAAATAAGTGCACAAAGACGATGATGTCGTCGTAATAATATACTACCTCAACTTCTTAGTATAAAAGTTAGTTGACTAATTTGAATAGATTAAATAAATTAGTTAAGTTAGTTATGTGTAGTAAATAAGCATTATTTTTCTAAAATATTCTTACTAATCAAATGTCATTTGATGAAACATTTAATACGTATAACTACTACAAAGAATATCTTTAAAAAAATAGATAAATATATATAAAAAAAGTAGATTGGGGTCTTATATTTGTAGTCAAATTAAAAATTAAATTAATTATTATATTAAGAATTGGACGTAGTATTTTAAATCCCGTTATACTTTTAAGATCAACAAGCTACTTTATAGTGATCATGACTGTAATCAGATAAGTATCAAAGGAGGAAGAGAAGAATTCACAATATAGAAAAAGGCAAACTGTAAATATTCTTGGCTGGAGAGTATGTCTAATATAGGTTAACACGTATATTAAAAAGACCTGTGTGATTATCACCCCCAAAAAAAAAAATGCGTGATAACAAGTTGGCTTTAAACTAACCCTAACCTGTTATAATTGGTTGACGAGTTATCCTGTCATATATTTTTTGCAAAAAAAAAATCAATTTTTAAAACTTTTTATATACAATATGAAACAAAATATAATGAAATTATTGTTTTTCCTTATTTTTTAAATATAATATAAAATATGGTTATAATAATAAATAAAATTTTAAACAAAATACGGGTTAGACCGTGGGTTACGTGTTGAAAAGGCTTGGTCCCCAAGCACACGGGTTGAGCCTTAGATCCGGTCTATATTACTAGCTTTATCAGGGTTATTAGGGATAACTTTAAAATGAAACCCATAAAAGGTACATCACCATTTTCTTGGGTCGCAAACTCGCAATTCAACTTTGTAATGAGCCACAGTCTATCCCTCGTTATTAACATTACAAGTTAGAGATTCACAGTGTTTGAACAATCCAGTTTTCTGCAAAAGCAAGAGGTGAAAACCGCAGAGATTCTTGAATTTGTCCGTAGCATTGCCAGAGGATCACAGACAGATTTTTCAGGCAACATAACATTCCACTTTCTCCAAATGATGTTTAAGAGAACGATGATGCCCTTGAGAATATGAAAATGATTATCCATATGCAATTGACCAGCCATTGAGAAAACAACTCTTTCTCTTTTAGACAATAAATTGCTCTCTTCATCAGCCTGGACATAAATTGTGAAATTTAGTTAAAATTAATTTATTTTTATTAAATACGTTCATATTTTCAATGTCTGTCAAAATTATTCTCTCTCTTAACGAGATTTATTTATTAAGTTAGTGTAATTCTATCTCTCTCTCTCTCCATAATTAAGGATGCTTAGATAAAATGAGTAATTAATACTTCTAGAAATATGTGTTGAGTAACCAAGAAAATATGTTCTCAATTTTTTAATAAAAAGGACCGGATAAGGTAATTTTTGCTTGTAACAAAATCTAATTTCTTTCAGACAAATATTAGACCCTTTCTCAATCAAACTCGAATATTTTCTCAGCGAAAGAATGGCCGTCCTACTCCCTTCAACCTTTTTTTTTTTTTTTGGGTATACTACTCCCTTCAATTTATCTTAGCCTATCTATTATTTTATATAGCTATCCAAGCTTTTCGACCCTTCTTATAGTGGTTTCATTATTTTATTTTTTTGCCAACATAGAAATTTCATTATTAATTCATTATTTTTTGCAAACTATCTCATATACCAAAACATTAAAATTATTTTAAAAAATGTGTCATAATTTTTTTAGTACGTATCCTCCAATTGGGGGAAATCAAAGGGACCATACAACCTATAAAGCCTTTCGTTAAATGGGAAGTGGAAGCCTAATTAAATTCAGCCCACTCATGTCATAAATCCCAGATGAGCTTGGCCCACGCGGGCTGGGTCCAACAGCACACACCAGAAAGCAGGTTCTGCATACAAATTGATGGGCCCAGATGAATAATTAATTAACGATTACTTTAATTAATTGATCGAAGAACTATAGGGAGTTTCCCAGGGCAAAATGGATTCATAATTAATAATTTTATGATTTTAAAAAAAATAATACCTTTTTTCCCTTATCATTTGATTTGTTAAGACGCTTCTATTAGGATTATGTGACTGAGGTGATGAATTGAGTCTGCAGGACAGATCCACCACGTGCTGTGATTTTTATTGCCAGAACAATCCAACGATTAATCAAAAATTAATGATGTAGCACATTTTATTTTGCTTTATTTTTCTGATAATATTTTAAAGTTATTTTATGGGATCTGGATTCTTCTGAGAAGCAGACTTGCTTAAGCATAAATGCTGGTTATGAACAAGACCAACATCCTTAATTTTCCAAGTTTGATGGGCGCATTGTTTTTGCACGCATATGCGAGACCTCCACTAAATTGTTTATTTGCAAAAAGACACGTTAATCATAATGTTATCACCAAAAAAAAAAACCCATTTTATCCTTCCCAGCCATTTACTCTTAGGCACCTTGTGGTTGTGGGCAATATTTCCTCATTAAATATTCGTCTATAATTTGGTCACAATATGATTCGGCTTTCCACAAGTGGCGATCTCATAATTTCCATGGATGAATCTATTAAGTTCAGTAATTCATTTAAGAATAATACTTATGCCAAGTTTTTTATATTTATTATGTTAAGTTATCTAATCACAAATGACTAGACCATATATCTTATTTTTTAAAATATCAATATTTAATTATAATTATAAATTTATATGAAACAAAAGAAAATATATGGCGATTGGAGACCTTTATATAAGCTTTTCCCTTCATTTAAAGAGTTAATTTGAAAGCACAACAACCAAATAGGCAATATAACCAATTTGTTACACTTAATATCTATTATCTCCGGTCCTTAATATTAAAGCTAGCTAGAGATTGAATTTTGTCTCTAAGATTTTGTAATGATTAAGTATTAACTCCGGTTCTTAATATAAAAGCTAAGTAAAGATTGAATTTAGTCATAAATATAATACCACCATTTACTTTGTCTCTAAGATTTATAATCTCTTCTGTAAAATATCCTATTGATGAATTAGTAAAGAATAGTTTCAATGCACATGATTAAATAAGGTAATTTAAAAAGTTAACATATATTTGTTACAGTTAACTAATTTAACTAATTTTTTAATCTCCTCATATTAATGAATTAGTAAAGACTGAAGGTAGTAATAATTACAAGCCGGATTATTATTAGCACAGGTTTAAGGGAGAAACTTTCAAAGCACTAGCTTATAAAGGAACGGGAATGACAATTTGCCTAGCTGCACACCACATTATTTCATTCGTGAATGGCCCTTAAAAACTAACGGGGTAACAAAAGTCCTTAATCTTATAAATTATATTTCACTTGCGAGACTCACAATAAAACTAAATTTTTTTTACTAGCTATAGATAAAGACAATTATTCTATTTAAGACAATACTCCCTCCGTTCCTTATTATAAGAGACATTTGATGCTTATGACATGTTCCTATATATAAGAAACACTTCTCTACTTTTTATGTTGATTTCAATTTTACCCATATTTATTGTCTCCAACTCACACTCTCTCTCTTTCCCACTTCTCTTTCTTTTAATAATTTATCATTATTCTCTCTCATGCTCTCTCTCCTTATTAATGAGGGTACTTTTGGAAAAAAAATTATACTTTTTACATATTAATTGTTTTTAACTAATTTAACTGCTTTTTTTATCAACGTAATTCAGTTATTTGTTCTTATAATAAGGAACGGAGGGAGTATCATATACTAAAATACTACCTCCAATCCTTAATATAAGACCCCGTTTTATTTTTATTGGTCCTAAATATAAGAGAATGTCATTAAATTTTTTTCAAGATAGTTCTTCTAATAATTATAATCTCAACTCATCGGGCTGGCACTTCCCTAGGTGCATGCCCTGTCAGTACAATAATAAACTAAATTAGAAATGTGGATGGTGGGTTTTTAAAAGAGAAGGAGAAGAAGGGGGTGTTTGGCAAAACCAAAACCACAGTTTCAGAATCACTTTTCCGTAAAATGAGGTAACCTCCTCTACATATTTACTTCGTAATCCGTAAAATCACTTCTAAAACCATGGTTTGATTTCTATCCAAACAACTCCGAGAAGAAATAGTCAAGTTAACTGGAAAAGGGTGAGAATAGGGCGAGACAAGGCCCTGGGTTAAATCAAACGGACAAACTTTCTTTGATGGTGTCGGGCATGTGTGCTGGGTATACGTTGTCAGTGATATACTGACAAAACATTACATGCTTTTCCATGCACTTGTCCCCTAACTCC